CCCCAAAACCCCAAAACCCCAAAACCCCAAAACCCCAAAACCCCAAAACCCCTGAAGGAGGATTATTTATTGAATAATATTTGAACGATAGGTGATGGAGTTGAAGCAGAAGAGGATCGTTTCTAAAAGTGTTGCTATGAGAAAAACAAACCGTAGGAGCCCGTTGAATGAGCCGAGAAACTGAGGTAAGTAGCTCTTAGGGAAATCCCAATGGAGTTTCTTTGTCAAATTCTTGCAAGAACCTGTCTATAGAAGTACCTGATGCAGAAAGGAGGTTAAACCGCTCAGTTAACAGTAAATAGCTCTACAGGGAGGATCTTCCAGTACCCTCTCAGCGGTCTTCTCCAGATCCAGACTAAGCGCAAGTTTAGGGAGGATGAATTCGAGCAGCCTTATTACAAGTTTGTGAAAGTCCGAAAAATATTTTTGAATGGAAAAGGACTGTACGAACTCAAGCTTGTCCAATATTGTTTCGTAAACTCCAATCTGCCGCTCTACAATGCTGTTCCGCTTAATATGATGCTGACTGAAAATGAGGAAAAGAGAAAGCAAAGACTTCCCAGTATTGGGGAAGCAGGGGTAGACGATTCTTATAATGTATTAGCCTGCGGACGCAAATAAAAGGAAATATGTAGTTAAAAGAGAGAGGAAAAAGGCTATTAACCCCTACAAAATGGCCAATTCGAAGAAAAAGTTCAAGAAATTAGACAATATTTATAAAAGAATCAACTTTAGGATGATTCAGGAGTCTTTCCAGCAGCTTAAGGACCATTTCGAAAGCGATTTTGAAGGAATTGATTCAGATAATAACTTCTACGAAGGTGTAAGCGTCTCTGTTAAGGTAAGCCTTAAGCTGTACTAGCAATTTATACTCAATTCTCTAGGAACCTCTCCCACTTTCATTGCTAAAATCAGGATTGAACCCATACAACAGTATTTCAATGTCGCTGATGCCACAGGTTATGATATTTGTACGGTTTTCATATAATTCTTAGGCTTATGATAGGAACCCAGAAGTCATCAAGCCTAGGAAGTATTCAATTAGCGCCAAAAAGGTGGACAAAGAAGCATACCTCAAGAGATGAAAGCAAGGCCTCAATGTGGTCTCAAACATTCTCTCCAGAGTTGAGCTTAGTCGTAAGAAGATCATCTGGGATGTTCTCGAAGAGATAAGAATCTCTGAAACAGATAAAATCATATGAAGAAAGTCGTTAGAGAAGGACTCTGATTCCAAATCCATGTTGAAGTCTCCCTCTATGAACGAGAAGACTGAGCCAAGTACTGAGATCGACCAGCAGGTGATTGACAAGACTGACTTAGACTATTACTTCTTGGAAAAACTTGAGCAAATGCGTGATAAAGGAATCAAGGACGAGGAATACGACTTAATTGAACAAAATGAAAAGTATTCACTGGAAAGGGATGATACAAGGTTTGATGAGGCCGGGTATCCCTCTGATCATGAAAAGTCAGATAATAATGTATCAGAGAGACTCATTAGTAAGCTAAACAGAGGCTCAAAGGATCTTGGCAACGGCATCTTAGCTGATTATGAGGAAGAAGAACAGGTGTACTATTGTCAAGATGGTGATCTTAGGGAACAAGTTCATCAAAATCCCATGTCGCTCAAATCAGTCGAGGATAGAGGAGATAGCTCAGTTTATACACTTGAGCTTAAGTCGATCCTTAAGGATTGAAATCTAAACGCCCGCTTATCCGACTTAAACAGTGATTTAACTTTGAGCAAATGAATAACAGGTAAATTATACTTTTAAACAATAGGATCTCTGGCCGACTCTAAAAATAGTGACATGAACTTCACTGGTAAAATTATGAATGAAGATATTGAAATGATGTCAAAAGAGATAGAGCAAATTCGAGACCAGATCCTTAATAGCTCAGAGTTAGCCATGTCCAAAAAGTATGCCTCCTCTGGGTGTAAGACATCTCCTAAAAGGAGAGGATTGGGCTCACAGTTTATAAATACTCTCAGACTTTCATCGAGTGATGACGGATACATCGAAGACTCTGATTAATTAAAATGGTTTGCCACCATCCATTTATTTTCAGTATTAATAAATTGATCTGGGGTTTTGGGGTTTTGGGGTTTTGGGGTTTTGGGG